CGCGAGAGATATGTAACAAGTTTTCCGGAATACACACTCGAGTGCAAGTCTAGCCGTTGTTGTCTTCGATTACCGAGGAAAAAAAAAAAAAAGAGAATAAAAAAAGGGAGAGTCCTTTTTCACGCGGAAATCGCATATCGCCGCTAAGCGATCAAATTAAAGGCGGAAGAACCTGAAGTGCGCGCGCGCAAAGGCTTTAGCCGCTCGCGAAGCGTTGCATAAGCGCGCGGCGCGCGCTCGCGATATTTCGACTTGGTTATTTTTCGCGAGGCGCCCTCGACGCGCGACTTCCGCCGCCGCGGGGACTCGCGATCGACGGTTGCGCGCGCCCTCGTTTTCGGTTTTGTCGCGCGCGACGGGCGTCCGCGGGAGAAAACGCCGAGATTCGTATTATCGGGCGAGAGGGGCGCGCATTCGCGCATTCGCGAACGAGCGCTGGAGCGCGACGCACATATGGCAAACATCGGAATTGCAGATTTGCCGGCGCTCGCGCACCAGACACGCCCCTACTGCTACCTAATCGAGAACGAATCGCGCTACGTCACAAGCCGCCAGCAGAGAAAGAGAGCGAGTTGGAAGTGTTGCGCTACTGAAAAGCCCGAGCGATAAAGGCCGCGCTATCTGTCGTCACGCGAGTGCGCGATCGTAAAAATTACAATCGGACGTTTATTTCGCGCCCGCTCGTGCTCGTCCACTCGACGTCGATGCTTTTATTTTCCATGTTTTTTTTTTCTCCTTTGTTTCCGTTTTCTTGCGCTCCCTTCGAATCGTCGCCGTTGCAAGACGATTTTGAAAATTGCAAAGTTACGCAAACTCAACGATTTTCTTTTCCTCGGCGCAACGAGGAACGCCGCAACGAGGAACGCCGCAACGCATTTCCATGGAGACGCTCAAATCGCTGTTTCTTTGGCAACTCCACTTTTTCTTTCGTTGTCGAAATCGTCGAGCCCGGGGAATGCGGAGGGGGAGGGGAGAAAGCTTCCAATAATTTACCGATCGGAATTCAAGGCATCGATCAACGGGAAAGAAAAGCTTCGAAGACAAAACAAGAAATCTTTTTTTCACTACTCGTACTACTGATTGTCAAGGCATTGACCTGCAAACCTTTAGAAAGATGGCGCGTGACTCTGGGATATTGACCCAGTTTCCGCATCACGGCAAAGGGAGTGTACTGTTGTTGTTTTTTTTCCTTTTCTTTATATTTTACGATCGAATTAGCGCAACGGTGACAATTTTTCGATTCGCGCGCAATAATTCAGAAGAGGTCGTTGTTTTCGATGTTGCGCCCGTTGACTGGACGCGCTAGCGAGAGCAAATTACATTGGCCGCACTTCGCGGTTTATTTACCTGAAAAAGTAAAGCAATTATCCAATCGGATTTTGTTTGTAAGCGCGCAACACGCATTCGCGCTTTAGAGCGCGCATATGGTAATGTGTCCGGGGTAAATATAGATTAATCGACTTGCGAGAGAGAACCGCGAGCGCAGGAAGTCAACTCTCCCAACTCTCTACAGAAGTGTCCTGGGGTATCCGACCGGGTGCTTCATTTTTTCTTTCTTTCCAATCGACACACGAGTCCCGAAGGGTCGTTGCATTTGATCTTTTGTAAACTCTTTCCTTTGCTAATCGAAGAGTTGAAATGCTTACCGAAATGAAAATGAAAAATTATAATTGGTCGTAAAATAAAATACCAAACATTACACGATAATTGTGTCGCGCAAACGTTTGCCTTTGTCGTGAAAACCCTTCGGAGCGTAAAATACCTCGAAACGCGCGAAAAAAGGAAGAAAAAAAATTTCATTGCGTTTCTGTTGTAACAGCAAGCTGTTACGACCGAGAGAAGAGGAATGTTATGCTTCTTCTTCGCCCACGCCTATACGAGCTGCTGCATCCGTCAATGACACAAGCCGCGCGCGTTATTAGCCTCCTTCTACTTGGTTAGCCCAGTTTTCGTTCTGCTGCGCGCTATGATTTTTCGGTGTCAAGACGCTGGGAGCGGCTCGCTCCAGTGGGACGGGACACGCGGAAGCTAAATTTACCAACGTAAATCAAAACGGATGCACGAATAACTTGCCACTCTTTGAAACAACAGTGCTACTAAATGCCTCTGACATTGCGCTCATTCTCGTCGCTCTTTTTTATACAACGTCGCGCTCGCTCATTACGGCTTTAACGAAGCATTTTTACAAATCGGCTTATGCTAATTTTAGCGAGTGTCTTTATTAATCAACAGCCGCAGCGACCGCGTGTTGTGCACTCGATCGAGAGAATAACAATAAGGCCAAATAAGTACCCTGCTAGCGACAACTTTGTTGTTGCCGGATTTTCGCTGTCGATTATTCATTGGCTGCCGCTCGTATATGGTCTGACAATTTGAAAATAGCAGGATTTATCGTGGAAAACATTGAGCTCGTTTTTTACAAAAGAATTACTGCCGGTTTTCCGGAAGACTCCGAATTCTCCAAACAACTTTTTACGACGAACTGACTTTTCGGAAACTAGGGTGACATAACCTCAAACAAACAAAATTCCCGTCCACTCGATGTAGTAAGGTCATTTTCAAGGAACAAACAATTCAATTTCACCCTACAAGCAGCCAGAAAATTTCAAGAAATCAAGTTCGCGCACGTTCAGCAAAACAATAACATTGTCAAGAAATATGCCCAAGAGACAGAGGCAATATTCTCGTTTAAAACTCAACCTGCGCGATGCACCCGTGTAATCCCGCAAGCGGAGCATATCTCTCAAAGGAGATGGCGAGGAGCCGGAGGAAAAAGAACAAGAGGAACGAGAGTAACTCGGCTTTCTCGAAGAGTGGAATCACCTGCGCACGCCCTGGGATTCTCTCTCTGTCGGCGCGGAGAGTGTGTGGCGCGCGCGACGACGCGAAAATGGCGCGGCAGCCCGGAAAAACGACCAGGAGGAGGAAGGATGGGAGGAGGAGGGCGGGGGGGGGGGGGGCAGACGACGACGACGACGACGACGACGACGACGACGACGACGACGACGACGGTAACCGCTTCGCCGTGGCAGGGGGGAGACACGTCGAAAAAAATTAGGTTGCCGCCTCCCGCTATGGGCCAATGTGGGTGACGAAGGCATGTAAAAACGAACTCGTTGAACGCGACGGGACTGTACACGGAACCAAGTGCCCCAATCCACGCGGTTAACAGAGAGATATTAACCGCGGCCTTTTTCTGCTCGCCCTTGCTTCAAAAGAGAGACGCCCCTATTCCGTATTATACGGAATCGATGTTTCTTTTCCATAAACTCGACCGAGCAGCCGTTTGCCAAAGAAGTTGTCGTCGAGTATAAGAACGAAAGGTTAAATGAAAAGTGGCGACGTGTATAAATCAGAAATAGCATAGAGAAGTTGTAATGAGTGCCAGAAAGACATAAAGTAATTTATCCAGCGAAGGGAAAAAGAGACAGAGGAAGAGAGCGCACTGCACGGTTATTATGGCAGCGAGTTTGAAGCGTGTGAATGAGACAGGTACGCTTTTTTTGTCCGCGACCCTTGAACTTCGCGGGCAAAAGGAAAAATTCAGCGCACTTCTGTCGCTGCAAGATTTAGCAGCTGTTCTGCAGCAATAATTGAGAAGTTTTCCTGAGTAACATACACACACCAGGACATGCCTTCTCTATTGATTTCTGATAAATCAATATATCTGGAGCTAAATCAGAGAGAAAGCTCCAGTTTGCTGCAAAAATGTTATTCCTTATTCCAAGGGATTGATTATAATATATATTCTACACTCGCATTCTCAAGATTGATGAAGTCATTCATTCATGAGCCTTTGTCCAGTATTGTTGTTCAAACGTGTCTAATACGTAATAAGGGGTATATTTCAAGTTCAATGATAAATCATTAGATACTCTTTGTTGAGTTTTCATGACTAATCAAAAGTAAATTATTAACAATCAGTTTCTTAGTTTGCAACAGCTGATACTTAATTACAATCAACAGCTGTTTAGAAAACTGTCAAATATGAACTACACTTAACCTTAAAAATGCGAATAATGCATTTTATTTATTATCATATTAAATATATTTTTTATAAATTAATGATAAGACATTGTGGGATAATTTTTTTGGATCTACTAATTGACTTGTCAGCTATAATGTATGCTAATGTTTGTAAGTATACTAATTTGCTTTGAATAAAAAATATAAATCTATCAATCAACCAATCTGAAAGTACAAAGTTATTTTTTGTCATTAAGTAGACTTAATAATTCAATCTACCAAGGCAGTGCTTTATACAAATTAAAAGCACACTTATATTCTACAATTTATGAATCATAGCTTTTAAGATACTGCTCGTTCTGTAAAAAAAATGATAAATCAAATGTCATTTGACTATGTTTTAATTAAAAAATACATAAAATTTAATTCTGAATCATATATTCTTTGTTTTTAATCAAGCTCAATGTGGTATTTTACTAAGTGGAAATATAAAATATGCATAAAAGCCAATCAATCAAATGTGATCCATACATATGAGAACTTTTACATGAAAATATGTTGTGTATTGAGAATACATAATGTAGAACTTTTTTTAACTGAAAGTTTTATGTACTGTCACACAAAGGATGTCACTCAATACAGTGTAACGCATACCACTCTAAGGACTAGAGTTTGTAACCTTCAGACTTGGTGATAAATCATGATATTGAATCAGTTGAATTATGACTGGGAATAATGCAATGGGCATTAGTGCTGCATTTTTCTCGATAAGAATGAAGATGGATATTGAAGAGTTGACTGCTTAAATTTACTTGGCGAATATTGTTTGATACAAATAATTCCAACCATAGACTGGGCATAGAAAAGTTGACAGTTCACAGAGCTCCTCAGATTATGAGCAGATCCAAGAAAATGGTTGTACAATGACCTCTGTGTGTGTGTGTGTGTGTGTGTGTGTGTGTGTGTGTGTGTGTGTGTGTGTGTGTGTGTAGGTGTGTGGGGAGAGTTGTATATAGCACATCGATGGTACTCACTGCTTATCTTCATACCACCAAGCGGTAGGTTAGATGGGGGCTTGTCTTTACCCTCGGCGAAGGAGGTGGTCCTAGGTCGGCCGCTCATTGTGCTCGTTCAGCTTTGGCCTAACCGCCACCTGGGCCACACTTTAACGTCGTGATAGTCGTCACACACACTCGTCGTTCGCACACAGTCGAAGGATTTTCGTAAAAAAAAAAAGAAAAGAACAGAGTGCAAAAGAGAGAGAGAAACAGGCCCTTGGCGTTTGCTCTCTCCCTTGCTTGCTGCGTTACACACTTTTTTCTTGTTTTTCTAGTCAGTCCTCTGGGCAGTAGTAAGCAGCAGCCTCGTAAGGTGGTGCCGCACGTTGGCTCGGCTGCTCATACACGTCGTAACTAGAAGGCTATGAACGCGCACCAGATGACGATTTCTGGACATGCGAGCCTTGACTTTACTCAAAGAGAAACACACACCAATGCACTATTACGGAGATAGAGAGTGTGAGGCAAAAAGAACACCAGAGATATATTCGGAGAGAGTGAGAAAGAGTGATATCTATCACATCGTCGTCGTCGCCGAGACGCGCACAGCAACAAATTAATTACAAATAATAAAATATAGTAGCACACTATCGGCACAGAGCGAGAACGGCGGCGACACGTTTATACGGATGTAATTATCTCTTCCCCGGGACACACGGCACACAAGCTACGTCGTCGTCGTAGTCAGCAGCGCAGCTCGTTCCGTTCGCCTTCTCTCTCCCTCTCTCTCTCTCTCTCTCGCTTGCTTTTGGCGTTGTGCTCTTCTCCTCCCTTTGGCGACGATGGCCGACGTTTTTTGAACTGACAGTACGGCCGCGTGCGCAGGAGCCGCGCACGCGTACTACCACGCCTCGCCTCTCTTCTGCCTTCTTGCCTGCTGCTGCTAGCCTGCGTCGCTGCTGCTGGGATCTTTGCTCGCTCACGGCGGCGTGTGTGTTCGTATTCACCAGGCGGCGAACGCGCAATCCTTTGCTCCGATGTCGTCGTCTTCGTCTAAGAAAAGACACACCATAAATTTGCGATCAAAATGACTTTCAAGAGAGGGAGGGACGTTCACCGGGATTTTGAATTTTTTTTTTTAGAATTAGTAAGCGGCACCGAGAAAGTCAGAGCGCGCGCACTTTTGTGGGTTGTTCACGTGATTGAAAATTGATCTCCCCACGTTCTCTCGGTCTCGCAGACGAAATAAAAAAAGTGTGCCAGATCTACGGGCGATCAGGGTCAAAATCCGCGCGCGCCGCTGCTACTGCCTCTCACACTGCTCGCACACTTTCCAAAATAACCGCACACTCAGTCCTAACCTATAACACACATACACACTAGCATATACGCCTACTGCGCGGCGCATTTGTCAAGAGCCCCTTCCAAAGTTCCAACCAACCATCACCCAACCGACGTTGGTCAGGAAGGGAAGAAGAGAAAACACGAATATACTACGCGAGAGCACACGCAATAGTAGGTTACTACGGCAAAGATAGAGAGAGAGAGAGAGGGATGGGCTACACGACTGCGGTGTACATAGCTCTTACTTGGCTATATGAGAAGAGAGATAGACAGAGCGGCGAGAGCGCCCTGTGGAAGACGCTAACTTCGAAAGCTATACTGCTGGGCTAGCTGCTACTACTCCGCTACTGTTCTACTGTACGATCATGGGCTGACTACTGCTGCAACGCACTCACCTTACTCATACACGGACTAATGCCGATCTCTCATTCACGTATACACACACACACACACACACACACATATAAAAAGCGAAAGAGAGGGAGACTGCTCGCTAAAATTCAGTTTCGCCGAATTTTACTCCGAAACATTGACATTAGCCCTCGCGGCCCTCGCGCGCGGCTTATTGCGCATCTGTTGGATTTTCTGTTTGTTTCTCGCTACAGAGAAAGAGCTCTCTCGTGTCGAGGGAAGTGTTACAGTCGATAAGCGAACGACGTGCGAGTACGAGAGGGCGCGTGCGTAGGCATACGTATATACTCGGCTCGCCCGGGCGGACAGCACCACACCACACATACGTATCGGAACAATGTTTCATTTTCTCTCACCTTCCTCCCACACTGGATCTCCACAAATGTTCTATACAACTCTCTCGGAGCGAGCTACTCATCGATTTTTCTTCCTTGTTGCGTCGCGTGCTTTCTTCGCCGTGCACACGCGACCACGGCTTTCTTCGATAAAAACATTCGCACCTTTTCGTTTTATCGTATACGAGGCTGCTATGCATGGACAGCGTGAGCTTTAGATAATAAAGGTTCAATGACATTGTTAAAAGGATGTTCGGTTTTCAGTTATTTTTTGTCATCATAACAGTGTTACGTTGATTGATCGAGAACTCATCAAACAGCGTTGCGTGTCTTAATTTAGCGATCACCAATGAAACAATGTTTTCAAATTATATTGGTATAAAATTACACTCTCGTCGCGACTACTCAATTTCGCTCAAAATTATCAATTTGGAAATTCAAATGACATCAGTGCCGGCAGACATTGCTTTACGAACTTAGCAATTTGCGCCCGCCCTTCTTTCAGCAGACTTGCCCGTAATATTGCAAAATTAGAAAATAATGAAATTAGGGGGTGCTCTCCCCCCCTGAAGGCTAACGCGACGATTTGGGTTTGAAGGTAGAGTATAGAGCAACTCTGTGTTACAACAAAATTAGAAGGTTGTCAATTTTATAAAATCCATGTCATTGTGTTATGTAAAAAAAATTATCATGTAAAGCAAAGAGATTATTCTCGTGAATTTGCCGTCAACCAGTGTTATGATAAATTTTTTGTCAGAATTGCTAGCACAGAATGTAATTATAGATAAAAAGTTAGTTACTAAAGCATTGATAAAATTATACGCTGATGATGTACTCATTGAGTAATACGTCTATAATTCAAACTCAAATATGCATTAATTTATTCGGTAAAGCTCGTTTTTGCATTAGTGAAGGTTATAATCGCGCCATTTTAAAAACAATTTTTTTTGTAAAACTGAAATTAGCATGAATGAAAAAATATTGAAGTTGCTTCAAATAAATCTAATTTTTTCAAAAGTTAAAAAATATATTATCCGAAAGCACCACGAAATTTAAAAAATTCACTTGATCAATGTATCATTTTGAATTCAAATTTAGTGTATTTGATCGAAACAAGCGAGAATCGAATCTCGAAAATTAACTCTCAATCTTTTCGAATGGTGCGCGACGGTCGCAGGATTTCTTTCTTGTCTACCGCGAGTCTGAAAACTTGTCTATCGAGATTCAAGAGTGTCATCGTCAATGTTATTCGTAAGTAAAGTGATCCATGATTTGGCGTACAACCTCGACAAGTGCCTAAATTATTTTCGTTTTAATGATTTAAGCTGTTTTCGTCACATCGGAGAGCAAAGAGAAGCTGTATGTAAATAAAAGTATCATTAATTTTTAAGCTTGTAATGGTCGAGCATTGAACTTTGCGAGACATTTGTTTCGAAAAACAACTACTTGCCGGCCGGTGCCTGGTCATTTCATGTATACGTGGTTAAGTTACGCTATTGCAGATACACATTTTTTTTTTATTATTGAGCTATTAACATACAGAAACATCAAAGATAGTCGAAGATGGAGATGTTAATTTCACAGTCATTCCCGAATTGAAAAATTTTACTAAATGAATTTTCTATTTTTTTAAACAATTTTAAAACAGTAAATGAAATATTAGGTTTAATTTAATATTTCGACACGAAAATAGACTTGCTTAAAACTAATTTGTTCTTTAACATTTAAAATCTGCAATGAGTATTATTCCCTAAAAATTAAAATATTTTCCCTGTATGAGTAGATTCACTATGGGAGTCCTTCTTAAAGCTAAAGGACTTCGCATGTCTGCACAGAAACAAGAAACTCTACTGAAATTGACTATTCTTTCATTTGCAGCTGTTTTATGTAAGTTTCATGTGCAAATATTAGTAGCAAATAAATCTTGCAAAACAATTTACTCTAATTATTAATAAAATATTTTATTTTCAGCTTTTGCAACTCGTCTTTTTTCTGTTCTGAGATTTGAAAGTGTTATCCATGAATTTGATCCTTATTTTAACTATAGAACAACTAAGTATTTGTCAGAAGAAGGTTTTTATAATTTCTTGAATTGGTTTGATGATAGAGTATGGTATCCACTTGGAAGAATTATTGGAGGTAACTTATGTTTCTTTTAGAGCTAAAGATGCCATAAAAATAAAAAATATACGTATTTTTATTCTAATTATTTCATAAAATATGTAATTTTATTCATCCTTTACACTTTTTTCTATTGTAGGAACAATCTATCCAGGGTTGATGGTGACTTCAGCAACTTTCTATCATTTAGCACAGATGCTAAATATTACTATTGATATAAGAAATGTCTGTGTTTTTCTTGCTCCTTTATTTTCTAGTTTTACTACTATTATAACTTATCTTCTTACAAAGGAACTAAAAGTATGTTTTGTTATTCTTTTTTTCATTATTCTATGAAGCAATGTATTTGAATATTCTTAACATTTATATTTGTACAATTTTTAGGACTCTGCCTCTGGCTTATTTGCAGCATCGATGATATCAATCGTTCCTGGTTATATATCTAGATCAGTTGCAGGATCATATGACAATGAAGGCATAGCAATTTTCTGCATGCTTTTCACCTATTATATGTGGATTAAGGCTGTGAAAACTGGGGCTATTTTCTGGTCAACTTGTACTGCCATTGCATACTTTTACATGGTTTCTTCTTGGGGAGGCTATGTTTTCCTAATCAACCTCATACCATTGCATGTATTAACTTTAATGGTAACAGGAAGATTCTCGCATCGCATTTACGTCGCATATAGTATTCTTTATTGCTTGGGAACAATATTGTCCATGCAAATTCCATTTGTTGGATTCCAACCAGTTCAAAGTTCTGAACACATGCTTGTAAGTTTAGACAAATGAAGATTTTTTTATGTTGTAAGAATTTTGGAGTGATTAATAAGGATTGCAATACCTTTTTAGGCAATTGTAGTATTTGGTCTATGTCAGATACACGCACTAGTCGATTACCTGCGTAGCAAATTGTCGAAAAACGATTTTGATTTGCTCTTTCAAGGTCTTATTATTTCAACATTGATTGTGTCAATCGTGGTTGGTGCCATTTTAACTATCACCGGAAAAATTTCTCCGTGGACCGGAAGATTTTACTCATTATTAGATCCTTCTTATGCCAAGAATCACATTCCAATAATAGCATCAGTCTCAGAACACCAGCCTACCTCCTGGAGTTCATTCTATTTCGATTTGCAAATATTGGTTTTCCTATTTCCTGCTGGTCTATATTTCTGCTTTTCAAATATGACCGACTCTAATATATTTTTGATTCTCTATGGAGCTACCAGTCTTTATTTTGCTGTAAGTAATTTTTGAATTAATGTACTTAATATATTATTTCAAAATTATTAGAAAATGAAATCTTAATTTTTTTCCTTATTTTAGGGTGTTATGGTACGTTTAATGCTGGTACTAGCACCTGTAATGTGTATTTTAGGAGGTATTGGCGCTTCATCTTTACTTATCAAGTATATGAAAGATTTAGACAGTGGAAAAACTGTTGACAAAAAGTCAAAGAAGTTTGAAAACAATTACGTCTTGAGAAAAGAGGTAAATGTCAACTCTGAAGATGAAATTCCGACTTCATAATAATTATCAAATCGATTGGATTTATTATTCTTTAAATATTTAGACTTGCACTAATTTAAATATATACTGATTTTAATAATTTTTTTTTAATTCCGATGTTAGGTTGCAACATTGTTCATTGGAGTGATGTGTGTATTATTCGCTTCGTACACCGTACACTGTACTTGGGTGACGGTAGAAGCATACAGTTCTCCAAGTATCGTATTGTCTGCTCGATCACCCGACGGTGGCCGAATGATTTTTGATGATTTCAGAGAAGCTTACTATTGGTTACGTATGAATACTCCTGAGGTTTGTTCAATTTTTTCATTGCTTCTAGAGCGATATGGTTTATCAGTAATAATTAAAAAAAATTAATTTCAGGATGCTAGAGTGATGTCTTGGTGGGATTACGGGTATCAAATAACGGCTATGGCCAATCGAACGATATTGGTGGATAACAATACTTGGAATAATACGCACATATCAAGGGTTGGCCAAGCCATGGCAAGTTCGGAGGAAAAGTCGTATGAGATTATGCGTGAACTCGATGTTGATTACGTTCTCGTCATCTTTGGTGGACTGACTGGATACTCTTCCGATGGTAAGTTGCTCTCAAGGTGATTGATATTTGTAATGACAATTTTATCAAAGAACATTATATTTATTCAATTTTATAATTTGTTAGTATTAATAGTTATTTACAATTAATCTGTATCCATATATATTTAATTACAAAATTGCTTCATGCCAAAGATCTCAACAAGTTCCTGTGGATGGTGAGAATTGCTGGCAGTACAGAAAAAGGAAAGTCAATATCGGAGTGGGATTATTACAATCCTGCTGGAGAATTCAGGGTTGATAAAGAGGGAACTCCTACGCTACTTAATTGTCTAATGTATAAAATGTGCTACTATAGATTCGGTCAAGTTTACACGGAAGGAGGTGAGAATGTTTTTCATGATCAGCTTTTTGATGTGTTGTTTTTTTCTTCATGAAACGTTATATTGTGTAATAAAAGTTAAAATGGTACATAAAAATTGATTAAAAGTAAGCTATTTACATAACGTAGAGTATAAAGTAAATAAATTGTGTGTTATCGTTAACTTTAAGAATTAAGTTATTAGAGACTTTGAAATTTTCGTCGTCACGAAAGTACAGAACAATTTTTTTCATTTCCATTTGTTCGTCATGGGAATTTTTTTTAGGAAAACCCTCTGGTTACGATCGAGTGAGGAACATGGAAATCGGTAACAAGGACTTCGAGCTCACGACTCTTGAGGAAGCCTATACGACTGAGCATTGGCTCGTGCGCATTTACAAAGTGAAAGACTTGAGAAACCGAGGCAACTGACAACTCGTAAGTTCCTTGTACTAATAGAGATGGTTTCTTTTTTCGGACTTCCAGTGACAAGTACGTAGAGAAAACAAAAAAAGAAGGTTCTATTATTTTTTATACATGATTAAGTCCTAAAAAACAAAAAGTGATGTTTTATAATCGCTGTCCATCGCACCATACACAATCTCATGTAATGTAAGTTATATAAATAAGATTTTTTCAACAATTATAAATATAACTTTTTCAACAAGTTTTTCAAAAAAAGAATTTGGAATTCTTTTATACCTTCCTTATCGCCTAATAAAAATTCCACTTAAATGCTACGCATCATCCAATCCTCGTACACAATTAAAACGCATAATTAATTGTCTCATTTCTTATTATTCAAAATCAAGGATGTTTAAAACATGACTTAACGCATTAACTATGTTTTTCCGATAAAAAATAAAAAAATCCGCATGCCGACTCGATAGAAGAGAGAAAGAGAGTCGACGCAGCTTGCCATCTGTTCTCCATTTGACATGGCACACTAGTCTTCGCGATTTTATTCTTTTATAATATGTTCATAATACACTGCAAAGAAACATACGATTAACAATTCACATCTAGTATTTTACAAAATTTCCTCATAATTCGAGTACAAATAATCAAAGTACATAGCTTATCGTAAGACAGTGAAAATGAAGAAAGAGAGCATCAAGAGAAGGAAAATAAACACTTGAGTATTCATGTAGTAAAATTAATAATATACAAAATTGTCATAGGTAAAAGTGACGCGGAGCGAGAGAAAAGGGAGGTAGAAAGAAGGAGGGCGGTGGGTTGTCATCATCGTTGAGTGCTGAAGAAGTTGATGAAGAAGTGAAGATAGTAGAAGCCGAACTGTTTCTCATATGCCCTAGTCCCACTCGCCGATGTACATGCCGCGAGGCGTTGGTGGTATCATGCCTCTCGTCGGGATGGGTAACCTTCCATAAATGTGATTGTATGGAGAATCGATTCTGTCGTCCGAATCTGAAATCGAGAAGAAATTTTCACTCGCAAAATAATTCGCACCTGAACAGGTTTAACCGCATGCGGGAATCTTGACGTTCCGCGTAAAAAGGTAAACATTGGATAATTTAGCGGTTCATTATTACGGAACTTTACCACGGTGCGTCATTGGTATTCTCGGCGAAATGTCTTTCGCCCGAACACAGTTGACAATTATAAAAACGTATATTCAAATAAAATTGAGTAACCGTTACGAGTAGCACTGATTGAATAAACCATTTTCAAAAGGAAAAAAAAAACTGAAGCAAGACGCTTTTGACAGCCTACTTGAAGATTATTGCTCATTGCTCGCCTAAAAAGCACCGTAAGTACTTTCCTAACGACCACGGCGTTCTACGACATTACATAAAGCATCAAACGAGAGAAAGTTGATTTGCTTAAATGCCTATATATGTGGGTCCGCGCGCTAAATAGATGTCGAGAATCAAAGAAGAAACCTTTTGCTGGTCAACAAATCAATGTGCCGTGAAAGTGCAAAGCGCAATGCGTTTGATCGTCTCGTGCCTTTCGTCGAGCGCTGTTTGTCCAATCGAACGCCCCGGCGCGTTTTACCGCTTCTCATCGCGATAATCGCCGCTAAAACGCAAGCACGTGACGGAAATCCGAGAGCACCGCGCCGCTGCAGCTCTCTTCCCTCTTGGTAAAACTGTCGCGCAAAAACCTCCGAAAGTTCGCGATTTACATGGGACAGCTTCGGGCACGCTCGAAAAACTAGTCGACCGTTGGTGGACTTCAAAGATGCAGCGGTTTCTCACGGTTCCGCTTTGCCCGATACGCGCGCGCGACATACTAATTTCGGCCTGTTAACGTGCAATAATTACCGAGTCCACTCTCGAAGCTCCTCGCGTGATACATGATCGAAGTTCTCTTCGTCGGGTTGGGTAGCATCGGCGCCTGAGTTGTGCCGTAGATCTGGGACGACTGACTGTGGCTTATCGGATAGCCATGCCCGTAAACTGCGTGGTGATGGTGATGATGTGGCTGCGGTGGCTGCACTTGGGAGGCACGTTGCACGTAGCCGGACGGCAACTTGGAGTGCCCGTTCGAATGGCCGTTGCTCGTCAAGCTTTTGGCCATTTTCACGAAATTCGGCACACGCGCTCGTAGCCCGCAGTAGTATGGATCGTCTGCTGGGAAAAAGTGATTTCTTTTTAGCGATAGCTCAAGAAACTCAAGCAACGTTCAATTCACGTTCTTCAATGTTCGATTAAAGTAGCACAAATAAAATTAGTGTTTTTACAGGCAGACCAATTTGTATGAAACTGCATTTCGTTACCTAAAAATTGTTTTATTTTTCAGATATTTTGTAATGCTATCCACTTGTTATCTCACTTCAAACATCTTACGAATAAAAAATGAAAAATCTGATCGTCTTCCTTGAAATGCCAATAAATTATGGAACATTATGGAAACTTTCTGTCAAATCAAAGAAAGTTGATATTCATGTTGAAATTCGAGTAGAAAGTTACTTCCAAATGAAAATAAATATCATATAGTATTTGTTGAAATTAATCTAAATATCAGTCGTGATGCAAACGATGATTCGTAATTGGCTGACCGATGCAATTCGCGAAATCGACACATGCTTCGACGCTCAGAAACATGTTCGTATGATTATATAATTTTTAAAGGCATTGTTACATCGAAACGCGTGAGAATAAAAGACAAAGATGCCTCAAATTGATAAGGAGCCGTGCCATTATACAAATTATGCAAATAGCGTACATTCATTTTAATGATTCTGAAAAATAAAGGAAAGGACATCGTCATTAATTATGCATCATTAAACTCTCGAGCGATGTTTTGTAAGAGAGAGAGAGAGAACGCGAACGACGAAATTCTAAAGATATACCCGTTATTTATCATCGGTATGTAGGCGCTCTCTTGAAATTTCTTTTTCAAGTATTGACGACTCCAAGAGGCGTTTTGGCAGCGCGCGCGCGCGGCATCGTGGTTTTGAAATCGTGACACGTGAAAGAAACGTGAGAGAGATGCTGTGCCGCCGCTATATATAAGAAACGACGGCGTATTATTCGTGACTGATTGTGCATTTCTTTTGTTTTTATTTTGGATTTCGTCGAAATCAAAATTGGTATACTCCGTTGGAGGCGCTCGAATGAAATCGCCTCGCAAGTGACGATAATCGCCGTTTTCGGGCAGTCTGGCTCACCGTATTTCTTATTGTTCTCCTTTTTGCTCTTCTTGTCCTCGACGACGGGCGCCCTCGCGGAGCTCGACACGTAGTCGTCCTCGATGTCATCGTAGTCCGGCTGCAATCAGACGCGCGTGATCAGTGCACCTCGCGCAAGGGCAACGTGCGCCGAGGAGATTAACGACCCGAGGCAGGTCATACAAGTGTGTGCGTAACATTCACCATTTAGTTGCAGGCAAAGCCAATAATCCACGCGTGCAAGAGTAAAATGTACGTTTGGTGCGTGCCACGAAATAAAGAGATAAATGCATGTCGTGTGCGGAAAAACAACAGAGAGGTGAATTGGAAAAAAAAAATGGATAACGTACCTTCACGTAAACCTGCCTCGGCATCTTAAAATACAACAGATCATTGAATTACAAAGAAGGCTTATGTCACACGAGAATACACGTACGTAAAGCGTAAGGATCGCCGGTCGGCAATTCGGAAGGCCGCGCCAAGTTTCATTAGCGTCAAACGGGAGTTTTCATCGATCGACGTTCGTTTGTTTTTGTGCTTTATTTTCTTTTTGTTTTTTTTTTTTATTTTCCTTTACCCGCGGGACGTCGTCCGCACGAGTCAATTGACGACGATTTATGGGCCTTTCGACAACCATTTAGCTTCCATTCCGTACAGCAGTGCGCGCGCTGGCTCTTTTTGCGGAAAATGCGGCTGTTGTTGAGCGATGATCCAATTTATATGTTAATACGATGAAAAACAAAAAGGCAAAAGCAAAGAGGAATCGCCGCGGGAATCATGTCAACGGCAATCGCGTTTCGTTCCCCTTTCTTCTCGGTCGTTACGCAATCGGAAATTAATCGGCGGCGGAGCTCCGAACGCGTCGCTCAACTCCGACTCCGGGATCGGACGAGCCGGCGGCAGCGGGGTCTCGCCCGCGATCTTACCTTGGGTATGTCGTGGCCGTAGAGATTTTCCCTTGGCGGCAGTTTCGGCGGTCTCTCGTTGGGCCCGGCGGCCAGGCCGTTGCCGGCGCCGCGTCGGTGCGCCGCGGCCCCGGACGACCCGGCCGAGGCGCGCTGCCCGCCGGACTCGCCGCGTTGGCGCTGATAGGCGGCGTAAATCTGCTCGTGGCGGGCCTCGCTGTTGGACGACGTGGTCGCCACGCTGTACGGGTCCTCGTCGGGGATCGGGATGCGCGGTCGGTTCTTTATGTCCACCGGCCTCTGTAGCGCCAGCACTGCAACCGAGCTGCAATTAGTATACGGCGAGGACGACTCGCTTCGCCCCCCCCCCCCTCCCGCTCTCTCTGATGCGAGTTCGCGCTGTCGTGCAGCGTCGAAAAATTGCGTTCCTCTTTTCATTTCCACTCGGTTTTCTCACTTTGGTTCGTCAGCCTACACTTATCGTTTTATCCGATACGCTGAAAGTCGATTCGAAAACGAGAGATTCGTCCATTGGATTTGTGGGCCGATTCGTTGTCGCCGTCCCACCGTGAAACCGTACACTTTTGCAAAGATCCTAATCGTCGATTTGCCAGCGACCAAAAATTTCACACCGATTTCCCTCGACCGGCTGCCGCAAGTAAAGCGAAAGCATAGCAAATCGGCTGCGCGTCGAACGAAACCGAAGCTTCGTTCGACACGAGAATCATCGTACCTGGCGGTAGTTTTGACTTGAGCATGTCCAGGCCCACGACATTGACGATGAGTACCCAGACGGGGCACTGGAGTATGTCGGCCTCGGTACGCACAAACACCACTGCACTGAGGCACTGAGTCTCCAGCCTCCGTCTGTCCGGATATGATCGCCTCGTTTCTCGCGACAGGTTCGTTTGGAATTTGTTCATGTCGAACAACTGCAAGCGAAGCAGAAGAAAAAAAATACATATATAAGTATATATATGCAAGCGACTCACGTACAATCGGGGCAAAAGCGACGGCATCCGATGCCGCCAGACATCCATTATAAAGAAAAAAGGTCTTTCTCTCGCTCACCTTGCCGGGTTTCTCGTGCTCGAGTGCACCCTGAGAGTTGCGTATGATCTCGGGTCCAATAGCGTTGTCCTCCTGGTTGGTCGCCTTCACGTAGACGTTGCTCTTGCACAACCTCTTTATCAGTATGTTGCCCTGCTCGTCCATCTTAATTTTCACTCCTTGGTTTATGTGCTTCTTCGCCTCCTCCGTGCGAGCGTCGCGCATCGGATTGTCGAAGCCGCACAGTCCTATCCTGCGAACGCGACAACAACGTGCGTGTGAGCTATGATATCGATATTGTCGACGAGTAACGCTATTTTGCTCTTCTCATTACTAACGAATTCTTCAATTGGCTTAAAGTTTTTTTTTCTTCTTGCTTCTTTCTATCCTTTCGCCGCTCGATCATTCGAAACAACGATAATTTTCCCCCTCCAATTCAAAAGAACGTTTTTTTTAATCGAAACATTGGCTTTTGCAAAAAATAATAGCTGCGCATTAACCTCAAAGTAAATAGTTTTCCCGAGTGAAAGGTTTCTCAGCAATCTGGAACATTAACGCTAAGAATGCAACGGAAATGAGAATTGTTCAGTAGTGTAATCTGTTCGATCGTAAACTTTCAACGCTACAAAAAGAAAAACTACGTCGTATGATGGAACTTAATCGGAATATAAAAAATCTTAATCCCAATCGCTTCTATACGATAGCGACAAGAAAGATTTTCAAGATATACAGCGAAGGAATAACTCGAACGATCGACTAAGACAGAACGTTCGCTGTCGAGTTGGAAAATCGAAGGACTTTGCGCGGTCGCATGAGCATATCGGAGATCCACCCTACTCAGCCAAGTGTTCGGACAACTTTACAAATCGCTGTTAGAATTTGACGCAGTTGTAACGTCGATTGGGCGACGCGGTCAATGAGATCGCTCTTGTCGCCTCGAGCGAAAGTCAAACGACGCGAGCTTCGATGTCCCACGCCACGTAGCATCCATCTCTCTCGGATCCTCCGTGGAATCCTTGGATTCGTCGCGCGTGCGCGCGTGCACGGGCAGAATCGGAACGTGACCGAACGATAATTCCCCTCGGTCCGGAATATAATTATGAGAAATCGGGAGCGCCGGCGACTTTCGATGATAGTTTCACCGAGCGATTTTCACGGCGCGAAAGCCGCTGCGGTTCCGATCGTCCTTTTTCGCGTCGAGTGCGCGTGCCTCGGCTGCTCGTTTTTGGAAAATCACCACTCGAGGATACGGGCGCGCAGGTATCGCGCCGCTCGTCTTTGGCCGAGATCGGAAGTTCTTAGGCTTGCGTCATTCGACCGAGGCGCTTCGGCCCTCGTTTCATTGGCGATGCCGTTCCCAGGCTTCTGAAGAGGACGCACGAAAAAAAAGAATCTGTCGATATATCACTGTACCATATCCTTGTCCTGGGGATCTCCGCTAAACTTCTCCTTGTGTTTCTAAGTGAATTTTTTAATAACCGTCGTAAAACTTCGTCTATTTTTTTTTTTCGTTCAGAATGTCGAAATTCAGAGTAAGAGTTGGCATTCCAAATATTAAATAGCGAGGAGGATTAAAATTGACCAGATTTGATGGGTATTCGTTGGATGTAAATTTTTAATGGATACGCAAATTTCGAAATCCCGAGAATGAATATTCAATTTCTCGAAGAAGAAACCATATGATTTTTGCAATAACGCGCTTCACTCCAGATTTCTCTCGGTATTTCAACGCTTGCAAAAGGTTCGCATTCCAGTCTTTCCTCAGAACTTGTTTAAAAAAAAAAAAAAGAAAAGTTTATTTGAACGTTCGCGTGTAACTGTTACTGTTGACAATTTCCGATGGCGAGCATCGCTGCGACGTGACGTAATAAAAGGAAAAAAGAGAAACATTTTTTACAATCGAAGATACTCTGCCAAACTGTTATCGCAGATAAATGCCAAGTTCCTCTTTCGTATTCCAACCGCCAATTATTACGCAAGCGGGCACAACTACTACTAATTTTAATATATACGTTGCGCGAGCTGTAAAAATAGAAGCGACGACTTTCGCGCACACGAAAAGAGCGGGCAGGGCCTTGTGAATTCCTCGATTTGTTTTTTTTTTCTTTTTGCTTTGCCACGCGAAATAAGTTTTGGCGTCGAGAGCGACAAGAGCATCTTCGAGATCGAGCGCAGTTTTCGCCGTACGTAGGCCCGGTGTATCGATGCGTTTGACGAAAAGGAGAGAGAACAAAAAAAAAAAACAAAAAACAGAGAGACACGCACACGCGAGCAGAGTCGTTAACCTTTTGCGCGTTTTTAATCGGCCTTTCACGCCTCGCGGCTGCTGCAAGCGCTGCCGCGAGCGGAGCCCCCAAACTCTCCGCGCATAACGGCAAGCCGTGATGATGCGTCGCGGGAGAGATCGAGAAAAAGAGGCATCGATTTCGCAAGAGATTCCTCTTATTCGCTCTCTCTCTCTGCGCTTCGCGCGCGGTGAAAGCCTTTCGGCACGCGGGTACACGCGTCGCCCGTATCGTGCTGTCTCTCTCTCTCTCTCTCTCTCGCCGAGAGGGTTGACTTTCGGCGTACGTTTCTCTCGCGGCGCGTTCCGTTTACTTTCGAAAAATTTAGCCATTTGAATAATTATGCCGATGCATACGCATTGTTCCCCCCACTTGGCCTTTTTTCTTACTCACCCGCGGAATGCGATGCCCGGGAGCTATTACACGCTCGAAAATTTCGCGAACGAAGTCGATATTAGTTACGCGCTGAAAAGCACGCCGGGAAAGTAGAAACTTCATATCCATAAATGTTAAAAAGTAAAAAGTATCCCAGATCACATCGAGGCGAGGATGTATAATGCATATAGATTGGCGGCGTCGCGCGCGAGAGTGTCGATTGCGCAACTCCGCAACGCGCAGGCGACTCTTCAGCAGTCTCGCGCACGGACACACGTGTACGATCTTCCGGGGCTGCGAGCGCGCGAATCGATTAGAAAGGTCCGCGACCGACTTCCCTTCGGGGATCGAGCGACTTGAATAACCCGTCGCCCGTGGCGTCCTCCGCGGCGGGTGCGCGATAACGAAATAACTCGGCGTTGAATGTCGTTACGGAGGCGCGCGCCGCGAGGCGAACGCACGTAGCATTTCAGCGAACGCGTGGCGAAAGCGACGAGCAACCGATTCCATTAACGCGTCGTTAGTCCACGATACCCCCGCTGGACTTTGGCGAGTCTTATTTTGACGTGCCTCCGCGCCTCCGATCGGTTTACCGTCGAGGACGGACGGGAAAATATATCGCGCGCGATCGCCGACAAAGTCGTCGAAGTTAAAACTCGCCGCACGAGTGCTCGGATTCCACTTAGCTCGGCGGCGAGGCCGAAAAAACGAGGAGGTCCGCGCGAGCCCCCACCGCGTACACAGGAGGCACACTCCGGCCAAGCGTAAGCCGCGATCGTGTTACCCGGGCAGCGGTCTCGAAGGGAGGTCACGACGCGAGTCCGGGTTGCGCGTTCCCAGCCAGCTCTCGGAACGCGCTTGCCGTTCGATAAACGCGCGTGGAAGCCGATGTCGGCGCGTCGAGAGAAATCGAGCGGCATTGTGCGCGGCGCGTGGAAAAATTCGCGCGCGTTACGAAACGTCGCCGTCGTAATTTTTTCCTTCGGAGCGGCGTAGCGCGGGCGCGACATACCTAAATCCATCGAAGCCATCGTCGGAGCCGTTGACGGTGAGCACCGGCGCCCTGGCGTAGGCCTTGGCGACGCGTCGGTTCCTCTCGAAAACGATGACCTTAGCCCAGATCTCGTCGTCGATCTGGTTCCACTTGTCCAGCACTTCCTGTATGTGATCCTGCGGATGGAAGAGAGAGAGAAAGCTCATCATAGTCGTCGCGGGGAAGCCGACGAAAGTGCCGCTGCCAACCGCCAATTATGCGTCGCTCGAGCGAGCGGCAGAAGCCCGTTACGCGCGTTGACGAGCGCGTCGTAGAGAGGCGCTCGCTCGTCCTCGGATCGCGATATGATTTAAGAGGCGCAGCGAGGAGAGGCCCCCTTTGCGCGTGAATTTCGAAAGTAAGACGTTGCGGGCGCTTTATGGCTTATGCTAATTGTCGACGCGGCCGCCGATGCAGTTTTCGATGAAAGCCGCGCGCGCGCCTTTGTTTAGAATCCGACTGCGGTACAACGTACTTTGGCCGGAAAGATTTACGGGCCAGTAAATGCGTGTGCTCCAACGTCTTTCTTTTCCCTCTAATTTACGACGACGACTGGCTGTTTGTTCTGACTAATTTCTTTTTTATCGAACTCAGCTGCTCGCGTTGTTACAATTCCTACGTAACGCGCCACTTTTTCATTTATATATTCGCTGAGCCATCGGCGTCGCGCATTTATCGCGCTCCCAGCGACACTCGCGTTTTCAGTTTGGCGAATGCCCCTTGCATACCATTCCGAGAGACGACAACTCGCCGCTGCTTTTCCACTTCGCTGCCGCGTAAGATCGGCTTTGACCCGCGAGTCTTGGTTTTTCATTTCATTGTAGTTTTTCCGGGCACCGCCACGTTGGACTGATTGTGCGTGTATCGATAACTAACGGCAAAACCAAACGTTTCTCGATCGTAACCGCGAGACTTGGCAATTTTCGATTGACGCGATTCAGTCGCCGAGAAACGAGATTCAGGAGCACTTTTTCGCGCTTCAATGTAAAACGTATTGCTTTATTCTCTTCGTTTCTTTTTTACGATTTAAAAATCCGCCTAAAAGTCTAATACGAGTAAACGCTCTTACGGACATTCCAAGAACGGCGCGTTCCTAAGCGAGCCTATAAATATTTACGGAAGCGCTTAGACAACAGCCGAGTTCTCGTGTAGCCCGAGCCGTAAACGTGTATACACACGTACACGCAAACCTAAGCCGGAGTAAGACATTGTAAACGGCTCTACCTTCTTCGTCGTCGTTTTCTCGGAGGGAATTGATTTTACGACGTGCAACTTGCAATCACTTTAAAGATCCTTTAATTAGCGCACAGCTCGCTTTTATTACCGGCTGTTCACCCCCCCCCCCCCCCCCCCCATAAAAGCCCCGCCTCGGCGAAAGAAACAGTCCCATTTGCGTTTCCATCGAGGTGTTGTCGCGCGGCTCTCTTGCCACTGACTCGCCCCTCCTCGCGCGTTCCGACGGGCGAAAGCCCTCCCCCTTTTATCGAGGACACACTCGCGCGCGCGACAAGCGGAAGCCCTCGAGCGGACGGACCGCCGACGCGAAGAACAACGAGAAGCGAAAGGCGCGCGGACGAGGCTTCGATCGCCGGACTAATCGACTCGATTAAGCCGTCGCCTCGTTAACGCGGAGTGCGTGCCCGGGAGCACCGAAATCACCGCGAATTTGGACGCTCCGAGAGTCATTACGTCACAACGAGCCGCGGTAATGTGCTCCGAAAGCTCGGCGATCGCGCGCGTTAATCCGATTGAAGGGAAGAAAGAAAAAAAAAAACGAGCGGGTCGTTACCCGAGTGCCTCGGCAGCCCCCCCCCCCCTCCCCCGCCCTAAAGATCGCCGCCGATGAGTCGTCCGAGCGTCGTACTCTGATAGAGAAAGGGGTTATATTTACGAAAGGAGCGCGGCGCATTTTAACTGTAATTCGGTTGTGTACGCGCGGCGCGTATACCGTTAACCTTGATTTTGGAAACTGCCTCGCGGGGGACACTCGCCTTGAACAGTTTGTCCATGTTGTACCAGACGTCCTCCTCCTCCTCTTGCTCGTACTGCGCGTCCGCGAGGTTGTCCCGCGAGCGCGACAGGATTCTCCGCCTCGACACCATACCGAGAGCTCCTCAGTTTTCCAGCTGAAACACAACGTCAGAATGGTGGATTAGAGTCGGCCGACGGGGCCGCGCATTATGAATGAGAGGCAGGCGGGACGCGGCCGCCAATTAGCGATCGTCCGAGGGTCTTAATTGGCAGGTGGCGGGCAGCCCGGCGATCGAGCCGAGAGATATTTGGGCGCGTGAAATTTCCGCGAAACCGCGATTCGCATCTCTCCTCCTGGCTTTCGCCGCCGAGACGGTTCTCGTGTGCCGCGTTCCTCGCGACGTTGGCTCTCTCTCTCTCTCTCTTATTTCGATGTCCGTTCGTCGTCGCGATCTATTCTGTAATTCGGAGTATCATTCGGATCGCTTTAGCGAAAGTCGCAATGCCGACGCATTTGACACCGACTATTTATATAATCTTATATGCAGTCGCATGATTCAGCCACTCGCGAACTATTCAATTTATCAGTCCCCTTGCGGCGCATGGATGTAAGCTCATAGAGCCTCTCGGACAAGTCAAGTTATCGCGAGTATTAGCAATCCTCGGCAAGCCCTTTTCTCATAGTTGTCTCGGGGCTAGCCTTTGAACGCCTTCTCCTTAGACGCACCTTCGTCGCTGGAAAAGTTGCTTCGAGCGAGTCGAAACCGAGACACTCAAGGTTGCACATCCTCGCTTCGCCGATGGCGTTGGAATACTTTCAAAACGGTCGGTTCGATTCGTCATCCGAGGCAACTTCTGTCCGTTGACATATGCAACGATGGTGGATGTAAGGCCGCGGTAATATGACTATCGTCACCGACAAATCTATAAAGATTTTCCGCGAAACCGCGCTCTTTCGGTTTATTCTCGTCTACCAAACTGCCGCCTGACGTTTGCGCAGGCAAGCAAGACCCGATTGATCGCTATCGTACCGCGGCTTCCATTGTTTTGCCAGCGAAAACGAGACCGAAGTGACAGCGAATTTCCAATTGTCCGCGTGTAACGGCGAAATTCCACGTGGGAATAGTACGAGAGGTATTATGTATGCGAAGGTCCGTCATTCGATTGGGGTTACGTTCAATTTATGAGTCAATTTGAAAAATGGTTCGCCGATCGATCGACACTTGAAAAATAACAAACGATCTTTCATTTTCCACCCTTAAAATTTTTAAGTCGACGAAAAGAAACAATTTTCACGTTTGTCGAATACACTGCCGACGCAAACATTCCTATCGTTCTCGAGTCCTTGCGACTGCCTCCGAACTTTGAACCGAAAAATAAGCTTCGTTTCGCAAAAGTGTCACGACTATATTAAATCGTCTTGGCGGTGCACAAGCCATCTCTCGAGCACGAGGCAGTTAACGTTGGAACCGGCGAGGCAAGACGAGCGCCGTACAAAAAGGGCTCCCCGAGACACACTCGCGCGCACAGGCAAAGAAGCCAACGCTTGAAAAAGGAAAGTCGATAATCCAGCCGAACGCAAACGCTAATTTCCCCATTGATTTTGGAGCAAGTCATTGGCATTTCGACAATGATTCAAACTGCACGCGCGCAGCGATCCCGCTACGTCAACACCAGAGAGAGAGAGAGAGAGAGAGAGAGAGAGGAGAGAGAGAGAGAGAGAGAGAGAAGAGAGAGAGAGAGAGAAGAAATAAATAAATAAAACGGTAATACGATTGCGCAATCCTTTCGCCAGTGCGCGGGCGGGCTCGCCTTTCGTTTCGCGCGCAACTCGAGCAGGTAACGGTCCGACGGCGCTGCGCGTACACGTATACATTATCTAATTGCCGAGTTGTGCAAGCGGGCCCAGATTCCTTGGCCTCCCCTCCCATGAACGCGCGCAGAGTGGACTTGGGCGGTGATAGCGCGTTGGCTTTCGCTCGACATTGAAATTCGGGCTGGCGGTACCACGGCTGCTCTCTCTCTCTCTCTCTCTCTCGCGGGCGCAACGGTACGATTTTTCCCATTGAAAATAATTGGGCCGCGCTGAAAGCCAACGTCCTCGTAAGAGTGCCCGCGAGTCAATCGTACGAGAGAAAGAAAGAAAACAACGGCGGTTTCTCGTCGACGCGCGCACGAGGCGGGCGAGCGGGAAATCGCGTCGGGTCCAGGGCCAATTCGCGGGAGTGATCGATCGATTTTCGCGGCATCTCGTCCTCCGATTCGGGAAAGAAAGAGAAACGACGCCAGCGCCGCTTGCTTTTTTTTGGTTTCTTTTTTCTTTGCGCGTGCACGCGCACGAACTAAATAAATGTTTGCTCTCTCTCGGCTGGAAAAAACCGCGGTGGCGGCGGACACTCTCGGCCAAGCGGCAGAGGCGAGCGCGAGGCTCGGGGATCCGAGTTTTTTGCTTCCGGTCGACTTCGCTCCGTTTCGAACGGACATCTCAATGCGCGTTTAACGAGCGGCCCTTTCCTCGGACGATTAGCTATCGGAATATCCGAGTCGACGAGGCGTAACCGAATATTTCGAGGCTGTCAAGAGCCAGTCGGCCGCGACGAAAGGAGGCTGGCGAAAAAGAAAATCAGGGTCCGACGCGAACGCGCACCTTGGACACTTCGAGCGCAGCCACAACGAATCTCGCCGTGGAACGCACGGGGCGACGGGTTGCGCAACGATCCCAACGAAGGGCGGCATAAGCCGTTGCACGCGCATAGATCGGCGTTAAAGGACGACAGACGCGCCGGGAGCTTGGCTTTTGACGGCTCAATCCGCAGCGGCGCGAGCGGAGTAATCCAAAGCGCGAAGGTCGCGCGTTGTGGAATAATCAGCGGCTCGCCTGCGTCCGCCAACGCCGTCTCGCCGCGGCGGCGCAGAAACCAGATAGGCCGACCGGGGGCTTCTGGTTTTCTTCCTCCGCGCCTCGCCGACCCTCGTCGAGAGGCCTTTCGAACGCCGTACTGGTTAAGCGACGATGTTTTCGTTGCTGCGCGCATCGCTACGTTTTCCCACTTTTCATTCGCCGCGCAGCGAATCGATGTATCCCGATTACAGTGGGTTTCGAGTTCGCGAACTGTGCCTTGAATTTAGATTTGCACGTCTAACGTTTGCTCGACGTTTACGCAAAGGCTGGTGGACCGCGTTTTTCCGGGTACAGTCAGGTGACCTATGTCCTAGCAACAAATTTTCATGCTCGTGCGTATTGCGATTGGAAGATCAAACGATGCTTTAGTGGCTTGCAAAAATTAGGCGCTTGTTATTAAAATTGCTAATGTTTCAGAGTGGCAGTATTAGGTATCCGCGAGATAATATGTAAGAAAATAACGAAGGATAAGGATCGTGTGGAGCAAAGTTGCTGGCGCTATTACTATATGGTGTTGCAAATAGTATAGTCACTATGGGCACATATACCGTAATTTTGTAAGGCACGTTTCAGGCTGTTACGATCAGTTCCAGAGGTGTTGGCGACCGATTTTCCTGAAATTTGCTACAAAAGTTGTCCGCGTAATGGTGAACTTTAACGTCAATTTTTCGACTATTAAGACGATTAGGTTAACGATTATGAACAATTTCAAATATTGCATGAAATTTGTTCAAAAATTCATATCTCCGCGATCGCTAAGGCTACCATCAACGATCAACGTATCGATACAAAAATATCTCGTCAACGTTGTTCTAGAAGCCATTAACTTTCGTGATAAATAAATATCTGAAAAGTGGTATTTTTTGTTACCTTAAAAGTTCAAAAATCAACATTGAAATTAATAGTGTTCATTATGTGAGAACCAATAACCATGTGGTCATTTGTTTATAACAAAAGTTAATAATTTTTTGAATATTGTTGAAAAGACATATGTGCATTAACACTTTTATATTTGATAGCTTCATGAGTATTTCGAAATAACATAGATATCGATAGCTGTAACAATAGCGAAAGTACGAATTAATACAAAATATTCATAAAATGTTTTAAATTATTTATAACTTTTGACCTACTAGCCATAATGGACTACCAATTTATAATGAAATTCACTACTACATAGATAATATTTGAACCAAGAAATACGATCTGCTACATCGCTAGAGCAGATTTTCATAGCTTGGAATGCGCCATAGTTGATGAATCTCAAAAGCGCGGATTTAAAAAAGATCTTTCCCTGATGAAAACTATAGAAACTAAATGTAATCTTGATAAATATTATTCTTCCTTGGCTTTATAATTAATATATCCTTATTAATTATAAAGCTTCAATTTCTTATAAATTCAATATTTGTTTTGAGTGATTTCAGTGAACAATATTAATTCGAAAATATTCATCAGTTGCCCTTTCAATCAATCAATTTTCATTAAAAATTAGTTTTATTTATTTAAAAAGTCTATGTGAGATTAAAATTATATTTTTTATAAGTTATCTATTCAATGTCTCAAAATATGGTTACCGCTACCAGGCTCATGAAAAGAATGTTGTAAAAGGTCTAAATTTGCGAGTTGAGATATTGGCAACTAGTAACAGTAACAACTAAGCAGATAGTTCGCAAAAATTTATTTCATTCATGAATCTTATGAGATGACAATCTTATCACGTAATCATACATTGTATTGATTTGCATACATACTTTAAGGGCATTCTATTGCTCATATTATCTAACAGAGGACTCTGCGGAAAAAAAACGTTCTATTGGTTCAGCTCGCTCGCACTTAAAAAGTTAATGATGGATTAAAGCCAAGAAATTTGGAAATACTCTTGGTATGAAGCTTCTAATAGTTTTTTCCAAAGATCAACACTTACTTAAGCTTGTTTATAAGAAATTACAATCTCGAAAGTTATAAAATATTATAAATTTTCAGAAATTATATATTTTTTTAATACTACTTTATTTGTAACGACATCTCGAGATTGCGCATATCAAATTTGAATATTAATTAGAATAAATTATATAAGCGATCCAATGGAACGGCGTCGCGCCGAGGCATCGACGTAGCAAGCAGTTAAGCAAGCATTTGTTAATAACTTTTATGAAAGCATCTTTACCTATTTTATTTAATGCGCATAAATTATTTTTGAACTACAGAAAATTTATCTTGTCAAAATTTTCCGATTTTCTAAAAAAGTGT